AATGTGATATCATAAATTAAATACTGCATATATTTTTAACATTTGTTTGTCTCCTTCTAATACACCATTTGAAATATAAAATACAATTAAACCCCACCACATTTAGTATTTCCTTAAGGGCTGAAAAGAATGGGGTATTGTGCAAAAAACTGCTTGTGTCAGAATCTCTGTCATCTGTAAGAAAAGGATGTGAACAGTGGAAAGGGTTTTATTACCAGAATTTCCCAATCATCTGCTGAGAGTGGTTCCACTTCTACTTGCTGACAGGAGGAGACGTGGGAGCAGGGTTCAAGAAATACCTGGCAAAAGTAACACCATTTCAAAATACTTAAGTAACACCATTTCAAAATACTTAAGTTCTTATTTTTAAACACATAAAAGCTCCATCTTTAATTCAACTAGAAAACTGACATCTCCTTCATGATACGTTGTCACTACTTTGAACATACATCTTCTTAATAACACTAGGTAATTCATAAGCAGAAAATGGATGGTCAACGGATTGGAAATGGATTGCATTGGGCATGCTTGGGGACTTCAACAAATCATGAATGGAAGTGAATGTGAAAAGCATCAAGAGTTTTATCAGCTGGTAACAATCAATTTTTAATGCATATTGATCACAGAGTCATCTCTGCATTTTAAAATTCTTATTTTTAAATGTTCTGGACTTTAGAATGCTGAAAAATTGTGTTGTGCACAAATTTAGATAAGGAAGAAACAGCTGAAAAAATGAGGAAAAAGTACAATACAAAAGCAAAACCAGCTCCTTTACATGAATGGTTTCACAGGAAGCAGCCCCACTTCCACAGAGCAGCTTTAAGGTTCTATGTATCAGGAGGAATGATATAAGCTATTGTGGCTTAGGCTTTTCAGAAAGCATTAAACATATATTTCAAAAGTCAATTTTTACCAAAGGTTCCATTTGACAGAAAGTAACAATTTTCAAACAATATCATGTCATACATTTTTAAATAAACTTCATTAAACTTTTCTTGAGATAAAACTAGTTACCTGTCCTCTGAGAGAGATTTATTTCAGGTCAGCTTTTATAAAAGTACCAATCGATTTTAAATTCCTCTAGGTCTTCAGTTGGAAGCAAAAGTTGAGAGGAATATCTTTTTCCCAACATGGCAAATAGAAGAGCATATTATTATGAAACACAGCAAATGTGCAATTCTCGAATCCAAAACAATGGCAAAACTACCTAATTATTCATATATTCATTTGATTGTACAGATTATTATTTCCAGGCAACAGTTGGGTGAGATTCTCTTAGCTTTCCTCTGTCAATTGTTTTTCTGTTGAAGGCTATTAATTGCTAGAACTAAAAAGGGTAGTTACCTTGCCACTGAACCAGTAAATTGTAAAGTTCTGCAAATAGATACATCATTTCTAAAGAGAATACGCTAAAAAAGTAAACAAGGTAAGATAACACACTGCTTTGAGCCACATTCTTTGATGTCTTCTATTATGCTGAATAAAATGTTCCATATGAGAGAACAGGCCTATATGAATATACTACATAATAACATTGTGTAGAATAATACTTTTATATTTTTGTTTGTTTAAATCTCTACCTATTAATATGAAAAAAAACCCTTGGATGCTGAGATTTTAATAGACCAGTGTCGAAAAGCTCTGCCTGCCTCTTGGGCATCTCTTCAACTTCTGTCCAATGAAAGAATCGTTTACAAGAAGTTTAACACAGTGTCCAAGAGTAAGAGGCCAATTTAAATACACGTTCAAAGAGAAAGGACACACTGGGACATATGGTGAAGGAGGAAGAAAAGGGATGAAAATTTAATAAGATCAAACAAATAAGTCCAACAAATAAGTCCAACAAAAAGAAATATGCAGTAAGTCAATAACTACTTTAAAAAAACAGGAACTCCAGGCAAAATATTTTCATGAGATAATTCCCAAATTGTTTAATTGCTTAAAAGTGTATTTTCCTAAAATTAACGGCACTGCAGTTAGCGGCTCCAACTCTGCAAAGACCTACCCACAAGCCTATCCTAACATTATTTAGGGAATTGTTAATGATTTAATGAGCAAATCTTTCCATGTTTGAGACATTTCATGACGGTTAACTGTTCCTATGAGCAGATACAAATGAAGTAACTGCCTGAATACATGAAACAAGAAGGTCATAGCTAACTTGTAAATTCTCACCTTTTTAGGGATCTTGCAATATACCCTTTATTTAAATAAGAAAAAAAGACTGCATTTCAAACCTGTTCTCCATCTGTAATGCCAAGTTTTTCTGCCAACTGTCTGTTAATCTCTGCAATATTTTCACCCTGGTGACCTCGATGCCTGATTTCCATCCAGCTCAAAAATATAGGCTGATGACCACAGGATACTTTCACAGCTTGGCCCTATGAGTTTCAAAGAAATAAAATAAATTAACATCAAACAAGCTAAAGAAGATGCTATTAGTCAAGCTAAACTGTATTTGATTAGAAAGATCAAAGGAATTAAAAATATTTTCTGGATTTTACATGCCCTATTTTAATTAATATTCCCTAACAATAACTTGCAGCATTTACAACATATTAGCAACGGGTGTTTCTATTAGCAATGACAGAATTTTTTTTTAATTCTGGCAGACTGGCCAACTTCTTATTAACCAAGACCTCCTTTGGAATTCTTCTCCACGTTACTTATTTGCACAACTCTCAACATGGAAGCGTGTGGTGGTTTCAATTGTTAAACAGCTTTTAATTTTTATGGATTATTTTTAAGTAAGGAAAATAATTCCTCTTCCCTTCTTCTGTAATACAGTCTATCAAACAAATACCTTACAGAAATGTATAACTACACATTTGTATTTCCCAAATGAGGAAAAACCATAAGTATATGCTTAAACTTCACATGCATTGTAACATTTGCATGGACTCCAAGCTTTCATGAGCTAGGGAATATTGAAAATAAGTCCCAAATCACAGAAACTCAGACCAAAATGATTTTATTAATCTGTTTCAGAACCGCTTAGCTATTTTGATTGCAGACTGAAGAATCTTAATATGTTCAGTTTCCACATAAAGAGACTATATCCTACATTGTATCGCTCAACTGTCATTTTCTGTATTTTTTTTTCCAAAATTACTATTTTTATGAAAATCAAGTGACCAAGACGATGTACAGTGTGGATATACCACAGACTTACTCGTTAGCATAGTGATGTTTTCTGTTCTGTTCTCAACTCTATCCTAATGACTTCAAATATTATTTGACTTTTTGGTAAACTCTGAAAACATTCCAGAGAATATCTACAATGGTTCCAAGATCCTTTTACCAACTGTAACATTTAATTTGCAGCCCTTCCCCCTATTCGCACAGATAAAGCTTCTCCCTGAGTGCCTTAATCTTCACACAACTTTGAGTTTTGTAGACTGTTTTGTCACCCACTTATCTAATACCTTCTGCAATTAAATTTAGCTTTTGATTCGAGTTTTTTTATGATTTACTCAGTGTAATCTAGTAACATAATTATTTATCCCCTTTTTACCATTTTTATTGAAGAGATTGCATTTAATATGCTATTTCTATCAAGATTTCGGAGATCATATATTTTCATTTTGTGGATCGCGTTAAGTAAAAGCAGAAGCCCACCATAACCAACTATGTACAGAATGACGCTACAAGACTTCAAAGCAATTGCACTCCTTTTTCCTCTCTCTTGCCAGCAGATTTGTAAAACATCCAGAAACCATTGCAGAAATGAAGTGAACATTTATACCAGGTTTCTTGCAACCCCACCAGCCTGCTTCTACTACCCCAAAGAAAAAAAGAGCAGGTTTTTACAAGCCTAGATGATTTTGCTTTTGTGAAATGTCCTTCCTGGTCTTGGGAAATCAGCGAGTTATGCGCTCTGGGCGAGGCCACCCTGGCTAAGAGGGGCTTTGCCACGACTGTGGCCACCACCTCCGCTCCTGAGCTTCGTTCCCATCTCTTCCTCTTCACCCGCTCATTCTTGCCGTTTTTCATCCTGCCGTTCTACTAGCAGATCCTTAATTCTTTCGTTCATCACGTAAGGGACGCACGTGGGCTTTGCCCTTGTTTTCATGTGTGAAATGTTGTTTAAAAACCTAAGGTGCGCTTCCTGCTACTGATCCACGTACTTAATAGGACTTCGTGCGACAGGAGTCCCTTTCTGTACGACGGGAATATATAGCGAAAGACTTATGTACACCAAGAATGACGATTCTGCTTGGGTTTACCACCTCACCTCCTACGCGGAAGGCTAATTTACCCGTTACTCGGCGAACGCTGGTGAAAACAGCTATAAAATACAGGGTGCTGAGAGAGAGGCAGAAGCCAGCGGTGCCGGACCGCGCTGGGAGATCAATCCCAACCTCTCCGGCACCCGAGGACGAAGAACGGATGACAAAGCAGGGCCGCTCCTCCGGGGCCCGGCCGCCGGAGCGCGGCATGGGCGCACGACGTCGTCGTGTCACCATAGCAACGGGATGCCGGGGGGGGCAGACGGTGCTCCCCCATAATCCTCTCTGACTGAGGCGTCCCTCCGCCCAGGCCCCGAACGGAGCCCACCCGGTACCTGCTGCAGGCGGAGGTGAGAGGCCAGCTCGGGAGGCAAGTGCAGGAAGCAGTCCCGGGTCCCGCTCAGGACGACCGTCACCGCGGCAGCTCCAGCTCCGCCTCCGCCGGGGTTGCCGCTGCCCCACATGCCGGCCCAGGGCCGGCCGGGCCCCCGCAGCCCGCCGCCGTTGCGCGTCCGCTCCGCCCTAGCAGGGAGCTGCCCACTCGGAGGCGGGCGAGCGGGCCAGGCCTTCCCCAAATCCCCCCTGCCGCCCCCGAGGCGATGGTATAACCCACTGCCGGCCAATGCGGGCGCGGCATATACTCATTCCTTGCCTCCGATTGGCTTCCCTATCGGAGGCCTCGGCTCCTTCTGTCTGGCTTATCGACGCCGTCCATTTCCGCCTCAGTGGGAGCCAATGACAGTTCCGCCCGTTGTCTGATTGGCTGTTCCCTCGGCGAGCAGCTACGGCTGCCTACGCGGGCCGCGGTGGGTGATGGGAAGATGGCGGCCAGCAGCGGCGGCGGCCTGGGCGATGTCTGCAAACACCACGCGCAGCTGGGGATCTGCGAGTCGCGCGCCAAGTACCGGGAGGGGCGGAGGCCGCGCGCCGTGAAGGTGGGGCCGGCCTGGGCCTTCGGCGGGCCGG